ACTTTCACTTCTTGCTGAAAAGTATCAATCCAACGCCATTTTAGTTTCACTTTTCCTCATTCCTCCACACGTACGGGGAGAAACTTGTTATAGAAGTTAAAGTAAAGTCCAAAATAAAAAGCAAGCTTCCAAAGTTGGTTCGTCTGCTTACAAGTAAACTCACAATTAACTTCAAGTTGCAGCGGTGGTGGCGGCTTCTAGCTTCGCCGAAGCGAAGGCGTCCTGGATCGCGGAGAATCCTTGGGGCTCCGGAGGAGTTCTCGCCTACATCGTCCATATAGGACGACTCGGGAACTCAACTCCTACCCCGGGCAGCTCACCTATCCCCTTATGCCCAGGGGAAAGGTATCAAGCTGTTTGACAGCTGATGCTGGCTGTCAAACCGGCTTTTACGCAAAACAGGCGGGAGGCAGCAAACAGCTGCGACCGACGAAATCGCCTGCCACCGGAAGTCTCTCTCACCAGAAGACAAACTGTTGAGGTGGCTCCCTATTCACCTTTTCAGCTTATGGTGGATAACATGATTCCAAAGACAGCAGCAAAGTTTCCTTTCCCTTCTTATCCTTTTCTAGGGATATCTAAGAGTTGAAAATAAGTACAATTCCGCTTCATTTTGGAACAATTTTTTATCATAGGTAGAGAAAATTGTGGTTATTATGAATTTCACTTTACCAACACAGACATTTTTGAATGCCAAGCTCAGACACTGCACCAGTGCGATCTTAGCACATCAGTGGAACCAGAAGGCTGGCTGGCTGTCTCTGGGTGATATTCATAATTGTTATTCCTAAGCCCTCAATAAAAAGGATGGTGAAAATGAGCAGATGAGCTGAACTAAAATAAAAAAACCCTAAGGGATTATGGGAGGGGAGAGAAAAAATAGTGTACAAAAATGACTGAAGGGGCCTAGTATCTTGTGTTTATAGTCTTGCACATCTGTCTCTTACTAAGTAGCCTCAGCTGTTGTCTTTTCATTCCAGTAAAATTTAATCCACCATCAGCCAAGTCTATCAGCATTTCTAGATCGAAAGGTATCCTGACCTTGAAATGGCCTGGATCCAGCACTTGTCGCTCTACACTAAACCAAGTCAGGATAAGACAGTCCCACCATACAAACTGGACACTGGTAAGTTGTGTGTAAACATTCGAAACAATGGCCATGTTTGATGGTTTCCACCAAGCTTCTCTACCTAGGCAGGCAAGACTTGTTAGATAACTATTCATTGTCCAGCTTTGGATTCAACCACCTCTATTCAACCACACAGCTAGAGGGATTTAAATTATTTAAAAGAAACAGACTAAATAAAAGAGGAGGTGGAATTGCTCTCTATATAAGAAATAACTACATCTCTACAGAAATAGAGCATAACAATGATGAAAACTGTCTTGAATGCATTTGGGTCAATATAAAAAGGGGGGAAATGACATTGCTATAGGTGTATACTATAGGCCACCCAACCAAACAGAGGAATAGATGAACTTTTTGCTAATCAGTTAACTAAGGCAGGGCTTTTCAACTTTTTCACCCATTGTACCACTTTTAGGATATGGCAACATCTGAGTACCACCAGTTGCCTAGCAAGATGTCAAAAACTTGATGACCCAAAAAAAAAAAAAGGAAAAAAGTGATAAAGTACAGGTAGTCCTCGACTTACAACAGTTCGCTTAGTGACTGTTCGAAGTTACAGTGGCACTGAAAAAAGTGCCCCCCAAGCCACAGCCGAGCAAGACACTTGCCTGCCCGCCCTTCCTCCTGTCCGAGGTTTTCATTGTTGTGAGCATTTCTGTTGAGGATTGGCAGCGGGGGTGGGGTGGGGGGTGTTTGGTTTTTATTCCCCCCCCCCCATCTGCTGGGTGGTTGCAGCAGGTTTTGGTCACTTCACATGACCCTGGGACACTGTGACCGTCATAAATATGAATCAGTTGCCAAGCATCTGAATGTAAATCACAAGACCCTGGAGATGCTGCAACATTCCAGCTGATCGGCAGAAGCACCAGAAAGCATCAGTGCTGCTTTCCAGCTGATTGGTGCTTCTTCAGGGCTCAGCAGAAGCACCAGGATCAGCGCCGAGCTACAGCTGGAGCCTGGCGTTGATCCTGGTGCTTCCACTGAGCCCTGATAGCCCTGCAGCTCCAGCCATCTCTCACTCAGGCTTGTGCGGTGCTGCCACTGGTTTCAGCTCATTCCCCTCCCCGCTACCACTTTTCTAGGATGGTCACGTACCACCTGCCAGGTGCCAATGTACCACAGGTGGTACCCGTACCACTGGTTGAAAAGCCCTGAACTAAGGTATGTAGGAAGCACATCACAATAGTAATGGGGGACTTTAATTACCCTGACATCAACTGGGAGACAAACTCTGCACCAAGTGGAAGATCAAACAGATTCCTAATAAATCTAGCAGACAACTTTGTCTCCCCAAAAGTAGAGAAGGGAACTACGGGATCAGCCATATTGGACTTAATTCTCACTAACAGAGATGAAATGATAGAAGGTGTTGAAGCCCCTGGAACCTTGGGGGGAGTGATCATGCAATATTGGAATTCAACATTATGCAAGCACAAGCAATAGAACATAGTCAAACTAGAGACTTCGATTTAAGAGAGCTAATTTAAGAGAGCTAATTTAAGAGAGCATAGGTGGCACCTTGCTCAATAGTAGTAACTGTGAGAGGGACCTCGGAGTCCTAGTGGACAATCACCTAAATATGAGCCAGCAGTGTGCTGCAGCTGCCAAAAAGGCCAACACAGTGCTAGGCTGCATTAACAGAGGGATAGAATCAAGATCACGTGAAGTGTTAATACCACTTTACAATGCCTTGGTAAGGCC